AATAATGTATCTTTTTTGTGTTCCTGATGTCAAACTCGAGGGACCCCTGTTTCCGTTACGTTTCTTGGATGAAATGAAAGAGTAATCTCTCCGGACAAAATATCAGAAAGAATTAGCCGCGGAAAACTGCGAATGTAGTTTTAGTAATTACTTTTGTTTCCCTGAACGTAAATTAGGTTTTGCCCAAAGGGCATTTGTTTAGACAAGAAGTTTCCTTTTTTCTTTTCTTCCTTGTTTCCTTTTGCAGTATAAACATAATCGACAGACTTCTACTAAGTTCTGACCCGTTGCTAATAAATATGAGACCCGTAGCCAAGAAAGAAATCTAAACCATTTTGAAAGGAAACATTGAACATACTTCTTCTCACCATGACTCCACACCAGGAAGAGCAAGTATCTCAATAGATGAAAATGATGTTGATTCTGAGGATGGAATACACTCATTAGATGAAGAAATTTGGAGTTTGTCTAGTTGAATACTTATCGATGTGCAATATTATGCTTTCGTAATTATTAAAATATTTTCACATGTATATTTGCACATTACTTCATGAAAAACTTATACGAAATCGTTATAATGATCACATATATAATTAGTAGCACGTTTCAAACCGAAATTCGTCAAAAAATAATTTTGGCCAACTTTTTGGTACAAACGTCCCACTGTGCGTCGCTCGGAAAATTCGGCCTTAGCGAATCTCAAATCCTCCGCGTACGTACGCAAAGGGGCGGGGGGGGAGGGAGACGGAAATCTATCGACACATCTCTCGAGGTCTCTGCCGAGTTCTTGCGATCGTTAAAACTTTAATTCGATTAAATACAGCGATAACAATAGCACGACTAACATTGAGATCCTCGCGAGTTCCAAGACTTTTGTAATCGGAAAATTCGAGGAGACGGAAGTTGATCCTTTTTCCTCGTAGTTGCAGTGGGGTTCCTCTCTGTGGACGAGCCAATCTTTCCTCGTAAGACGTAAGAGCCGTTGGTCGGTTTCTCCTGCTGTCATATTTTTCCTCGTCCTAGGATTAAAGAAGAATCCGGTTTATCGAGGAACGAAATGCATATGCAGTAATGTTGCGATTTGTTTGTTGCAGGTTCGCGGAACGCGGTCAAGCTGGCTGCCTCCGCCGGTAACCCCGCCGCTGCCGTCGCCGCATCCGCGCATCCTCCCGTGCTTTGGAGCTCCCGCAGGAAACCGGGTAAGTCCTATAGTGATTCCGCTCCTTCGAAGCGGCTCTTCATTATTTATGCGTATCCGGTCGCCGCGTTGCATTATCATATTCTCGCGACGAACAGAATCGAGATATTCCTGGCAGGGAATCCCCGTTCCAATGAATCCTCGCCGATACGTTATCAATTAGCGATACCGACTATCGATCACGGCGAACTGCGGTCAAAACCATAATTGACAGCAACGACCCGCGAGTATCCTTCGCAATTTGCGATAACGGAGCGTAAACGTGAATTTGATCCCGCGTACGACGTCTCCGTGTGTACGATAAGACAGCAGTCTCAACACGAGCCGGAGCTGTCTCTCTCGGTTAGCTCTCATCCTGACCCCACATTGTTAGCTACGTAAGTTTATGTAAAACTCGTGTCACGTGGATAATCGCTCGCAGCTGGCCGAAACGGAACTTTGCGCGAGCGCGCTCGTGTATCGCTGTCATGCCGTCGTCGTCGTCGTCGTCGTCGTCGTCGTCGTCGTCGTCGTGAAGGCGCGTGCGAACGCGGATTATGGAATTAGCCTGGAGGTCAATTTCAGTGCGACAAGCTAATTCGATACGAGTCGCGTGCTCGTTTGACCCGTACTCATTGACCCCACTCGCCTAATGCTGAATCTTTGTTCCGTGGCTTTCTCGCCTTCTTCTCCCTTTCTTTCGGAAGGCGCGTTGCGCTCGCTCGCTCGCTCTCTCTCTCTCTCTCTCTCTCTCTCTCTCTCTCTCTCTCTCTCTCTCTCTCTCTCTCTCTCTCTCTCTCTCTCTCTCCCTCTCCCTCTCCCTCTCCCTCTCCCTCTCTCTCTCTCCCCTCTCCGCCGTATTTATTGCACCGACGAATCTCCGTCCGCTTCGTTAACGTTTTAATCGCACCCCTGCCCCGGTTGCTCCCTTGCGTTGACTCTCGCGGTGTTTGCTCGTTAAATCGGCTTTCGGCCGAAAGCCTCTTTCGACGTCAAACGAGCGATCCGATCCCACCTACGGATCGCGTTCTCCCGGTTGACGAAGCGCGTACTTATTACGCGCCGCGCCGGCCGGAAAGTACTCGAGCGGATACATCAATTAGCGGGCGGCTAATTCACGAAGGTTGCGGCCTTCCGCTCCCGCGAATGTGCCGGCTCGAGAGACTCGTCTCTCTCGTAGTAGCCGAAGACGAGGAGAATAAGAAGAACGAAAGGGTCGCGCCAAATATGAGAGAGAGAGAGAGAGAGAGAGAGAGAGAGAGAGAGAGAGAGAGAGAGAGAGAGAGAGAGAGAGAGAGAGACAGAGAGAGAGAGAGAGAGAGAGAGAGAGAGAGAGAGAGAGAGAGAGAGATCGTCCCTCGGCACAGCGTCGGACGTGGTAACCGTCGTAACGGACGCTGTCATTGGCATTGGCGAGCGTGTCAATGCCGAGGAGAGCACGAACTTCGATGGCGAACAGACGTGTCGCTCAAGTCGAGATCGGTCAAGGTTACGACGGTGCCCGCGACATTGCGTCGACACACACACACACACACACACACAGAGAGAGAGAGAGAGAGAGAGAGAGAGAGAGAGAGAGAGACTATGGTGCCGACCTCTTAATCTCGCGTTTCTTTCGAAACCGTGAGTCACTGTATCATTTTTTTATACCGCCGGCCCTCTTCCGACCGCCGCGCGCGGCGCGGCGGTAGCAAAATGTATCGAAAAGTTTTAACGAATAAGTCGGTTCGTTAAGCGGCTCTTGTGCGGCGCGAGCGCGCAGAGAGGCGGCCGGCGGGGAAGAAGAGAACGGCCGACTTGTGTGTGCGCGGCGCGGCGTCGTGATTCACGACCGCGAAGGAAATTCCTCGGTGACTTTAGTCTCGGAGCGGTTTAGAGAGTCCGCGCGGAACCGTTTGCGGAACGAGCGTCTCTCGCGTTCGAACGAGCGAAACGTATCATCCGTGAAGAGAAATCCGCGACGCGGGCGGCGTAGCGAGAACGATTCCGTTATAACGACGAGGAGAGCAGTCAGCCGGCAGCAGCGCGCGCTGCCGGCCTCGAGGTTCAACCGCGACCGAACCGGCGACGATTAGTGTACTTTGAGTCTCTCGAAGAAAAGGAGAGAGAGAGAGAGAGAGAGAGAGAGATAGAGAGTGAGAAGGGGGTGGGGGGACGGGACGGGGAGTCGCTCCGCGTCCAACATTCGCTGGCGCGCAAAAATCCTCGCGGCTCTGTCGACGTCCTTAACAACGCTGACGCTTGCAAGTTTACGAAGCGTAATCCCGATGTACCGTGCGATATACCACGAACGCTACCTCATCAGTTGCATAATCCGACAACGCGCGATGCGAGTCGCCGCGATCGGCGGTCGCGTTAGCGATCCGTCCGAGTCCGACGCGCGCTCGCTCGATTCTCACAAAACGGATGAGCGAACGATCGAAGTTCACGCTGGTCGCGAAGAACCGCGCCCCGATCGGCCAGCGAACTTGACCGAATCGCGATTCTCGAGCATTACGGAGAGAAATTCGGCCGCGCCGCTCGGTATTAATGCGCCCGACCGTAAGTGCGCGCGCGCATCAGTGTGTGTACACGTACACACACGCTTACGCACCACTTATCGCGCTTCTCTCGAAAGACGCGCGCGCGCGCGCCGCAGCGGGCTTGCTAGAGAGAGAGAGAGAGCCTGTGTGTTTTTCTTCATCTTGTTTTCTCCTCGCCCCGTTTTCTACGCTTCCGTTGTGCTTTTGTGTCGAGAGGTAAACGCGGTAATTTTTCCATTTTCCCGTCTACGCGGTACTTGAGCGCGCGCGCGCGAACGCACTCGAAGCGCTTACGTCTCTCTGAGTTTTCAGGTCGTCGGCGGCGGCGCTGCGCGCGTGTGGGAAGAAATGTCAAAAGCTTACGTGTTAACGTGCGTAAGCGCATGCACACTTAAGCCGCATTCAGGGACGGCTGAGTTCTCAGAAAGAGCGCGAAAATGTAATGCGATCGTAACTGCTCCGTCCCGAAAGACCACGTCTGAGTCGGCCGGTCGGCTGAGTTTAAACCGCGTCTATCCTAGCTTCCGCGAGCGAAAGAACGAGCCAACGAGACGAGCTTACTCGGTGTACAACAAGATCTAGCTGCTACGAACACTTCTTCAGCTTCGCTCTCGCTCGCTCTCTCTCTCTCTCTCTCTCTCTCTCTCTCTCTCTCTCTCTCTCTCTTTCCCCCACCCCTTCCCCCGCTCCTTTCCTCCTTCCTCTTTCTCTCGCTCTGTGTGTTTTTTTTTCTTCTCCGTTCGATGACGCCTGCACGAGTACACGCGATCGTGCACGCGCGCGAGTTATCGCGCGAACACGACGATGCAGACGCATTATACGCGGCGACACAGGCGACAAAGCGAGATAGTGAATAATATTTATCCGGGCGCGTTCGCAATCGACTGAACATTTTTTCCTGCGTTCGCGGTTTACACGCACGCGCTGGTAATTTTGATTCGTTATCTGCGTCATGCGACTTTGATACGCTCTTTTCTGAGCATTCTCTCTCTCTCTCTCTCTCTCTCTCTCTCTCTCTCTCTCTCTCTCTCGCTGATTTCTTCACAAGTCCAATACACATCATCGTCGTCGTCGTCATCGTCATCGAGTCCCTTCTTCCACTCTGCCCCTTCTCTCCCTAATTTCGACTACGACCGATAATTTGATTTGCTCTCAAAATAGGCGTGCAGCTGTGTTAATCGGAATTAGAACTTTGTCCCCCCTCCCCCTCTCGCTATCTCTCTCTCTCTCTCTCTCTCTTCCTCTCTCGTTCTCTCTTCCCCTTCTCTTCTGGCTCCCGAGCGTCGCATCGCGCCGCGCCGCACCGCGACTCGGTTGAACTCAACTCGGCTCCACTCGACGGGAACTCAACAGTCGCGACTAAACTTGTGTACGGAGAGCACCACGCCGCCGCGTCGTCAAAGCGACCATCCCGCGTTCCGCGTCTCTCCTCTCATAGCCGCCGCGGACAAGCGGAGTCGGCGCACCACCGCGACACGCGCTCGTTCCAACCTTCACCGACGACGTTGCTCGTTTCCTCGGAAGAATGCGGTTTCGCGTAAAGCGAGCGAAGAAGACGCGAAACAACTCGCGTGGTGGCCCGCGGCACGTCGACGAGTCGCGGAAGAAGAATCGCGCCTTCGTTCGAATTTGAAACTTGACGAATCGATATGTCGACATGCGAGAGGGCAAGAGAGAAAAAGCCCGAGGAGCTACATAGTTGAATCTCGATCGTCGAAGAAGATCGACGTGGCCTTGTTGTGAACGTCGTGGGATCATCCTCGTCGTCGTCGTCGTCGTCATCGTCGTCGTTGTCGGCGCAAACTCTACATAGACGCCCGATAGTCACGGCCAGTCCCGCGTCGCTATTCTTGAAGCTACCGCAGAAGGGGAGAGAAGCCCTCGGCAAGGGTGGACGCTCGTAACGGATCGGTTGCTTCCTAGTTTGTCCCGCGTCGCAGTCAGCGAGCCGAGTAACTCGCCTGGCCTGGCCGCGCGTGGTCGCTCCCGTCGACGGACGTAACGTAAAACTCGCCTCGTCGTCGGCCCATTTTCCGGAGATTTTCCGAGAGAACACGAATTCGTCGCTCTCTCTCTCTCTCTCTCTCTTTCTTTCTGTGTGTGTGTGTGTGTGCGTGCGTGCGTGCGTGCGTGCGTGCTCAGTGTGCCGTTTCTTAGAGCGTCGCGCGACGCTATCACTCCGCCTCCTCGAGACTCTCGCTGCGGAGACACCACGTGGGTGTTATCGGACTGGATTTGCCCCCGAGAGGTCGTGGTACGTGGGAGCGATTACGCGAACGAGTTCATTCATCGTGCGGATTCCAGGCTCGCCGGAAGTGACGATGAGCGACGACTTCCTCGCCGAGTGGTAGTGCGCCGCGCGGTGCGCCAGTCGAGTGCATCGTGTGTATGCATTCACGCACGCACGCACGCACGCACGCCGGAGCGTGTACTTAACGCAAGAAACACACACACACACACACACACAGGCAGACAGGCAACAGACGTGCACGCACTCGCGCGTGTACGCATACGCGACCGCGCGTGCTGACCTAGAGGAAGCGAAAGGAGAAGAAGAAAGAGGATGTCGACTCGCCGGACGACCGCGACCGCGGCGTCGTGCGGCGAGATGCAGCGTCCTGTTGTCGGTCGACGACGGTCAGTGGCTCTTTGAAGGTTTCGCGTTATCGACGATGGTCCGAGGAGTCGGTCGAGCAGATAACGAGCATTCGAAACGGCGAGAGGTCGAGCTTCCTTGTGTCTTCTTGGTCGTTGCTCCTCGCCCGGGCGACTCTCCGCGCGATTATGCAGCTGAAGAAAGCGATGCTTAAGATATTCGATCAATGTAAGTCCCGCCCGAATGTAAGTCCCATATATGATGTTTTATATAATGAAATCTCGTCACTCGCCAGGTCGCGCGCGATCGCGCTCCGATCGAAGGAGGCAGCGGCGACGCTTCGCTCGCGGATATTGTTCGCTCGAGCAGAGCGAGCACCGAAATCGTCGCGCTAATGATAGAAACGGCAGAACTCGAGTCGGCTTCGCTAACACCGACCGACGAGAAGTTTCCTCGATTACGCGGCGACCGAAGAAAGCGACGCGTAACTCGGCGCGCGCGCGCGCGTTCAAACGCGCGTCGCGCCAACGATGACGCGCGCGCGGTTTCCATTCGTCATCGCCGAGGGATTCCCTGGACGTTCTCCTCACCTCTTACGCACGCATGCACGCACCGTCGCGAATTTTTCAGCACGCGCGAAATAAGTTGAAAGTCGCGCGACGGCCGTTACTCCGTACGCTGCGCGCGCGAGACGCGTGAGCGACGCAGGGCTGACGCGCGCGCGCGCGTTCGTGAGTTTCTCTCTGTCTCTCTATCTGTATGCGCGACGCACGATGGGACGTGCGTGCACAGGCATTACGCGGCAACGTGATTCCGTCGTGCGCAGCATGGGCCCCATTAGAGACCCCCACAGGTCGTAATAGCGTAATAGCGGGGCGCGGGTCGGATTAGCTGTAAGACGTCGCGAAAACTTATAACTCGGCTGGTGCGTGCGAGTGAGAGAGCGAAGGAGAAGGAGAGATCATTTCCCGACGCGTCGCGAATGCGTGAACTTCCGCGACGCGTCTCGCGGGGATGCCGCGTCGTCGCGTCGTAAAGGGAAAAAAAAAGAAGGAAAAAGAAAAGTGAGAAACGCGCAAGGGGAAAAATTCAAGTGCGAGCGCGACTCGAGAGCGACTTTGTCATGATCGCCGATCGGCACTCGAGCAACATCTGATTGCAGCGCAATACGAATCGATGATCGACCACTCCAGCTCGCTCTTTCACAGGAAAAGCACGAGACGAGACGAAACTTGAGAGACGGCTTGACCGTGTCGGAAATAAAATGTCGGCGAACGAAGAAAATCGCTTCGCTCGGCTCATCCGGCGAGAAAACACGCGAGTAAGCGCGCTGCATCACGTGTGTGTGTGTGTGTGTGTGTGCGTGCGCGCGTGCGCGTCACGTGGTTGTCTCAGCGGCGATTTTTGATGGCGCGCGATGCTAATGTGTCGTGATAAGATTTATAGCGAGCGATAAAGCCACTGGTTTTATCGCGAGCCGTGAGATCGAATGTAAAACGGAATTTCTATCGCTCTCCAGCTCGTCGCGCAAATATGCACATACACGTACACACTCGCGCGCGCGCTCAAAGGCGCGCGCACACTTTGACCCGATATCGCGACGAGCCCGACGTTTATCGGCAAAATTATTTACGTATTTACGCACTTGGCAGGTAACCGTAACGGCGACTCGTGTAATCCAAAAACGAGAAGACGATAACGATAATGGTCAATCCATGTCGTCGAATCTTATCGCGTACGTTTGCGTAATCTCACCGCGACGCAAAACAAATAAATAATAGATAGATCCCTCATGAGCCGAGAGACCGAATTATACTATGTATGTGCGAGGAAAGATTCACGAAATGAGAGGAAAATGAGATGTAAAAAGTGCGCTCGCTCTCTCTCTCTCTCTCTCTCTCTCTCTCTCTCTCTCTCTCTCTCTCTCTCTCTCTCTCTCTCTCTCTCTCTCTCTCTCTCTCTCGCAGGAATTGTTTTCTTCAAACGACTGTTTGGAAGGTACCAAATTGATAAACACGCCGATTCCGTCGTGTCGACACACTTCGATCATGTGTCCCCCCTCATTATTAGCTTAATTCAAGGATCGAACAGAATGTGCGCATGATAAGAGATAAAGAAAAGGTTGGCCGAATTAACATGATAAAGACCATGCGCGACGTACCGAACACCTTTTGAAAGAGACGAAACTTCTACTTCGTACGGATCAAATTCGTTTCTAACGACGAGAACACACTCGGCTCGTTCGCTGCCGCGTCAATTGTGAACCGATCTCTTTTCTCTGTGCGCAAAAATGTACAGGTCGATCGATACGGTGGAAAAGAGAAAATACAGAAACAGACGACGATTCTCTCACGCACGTTTACGCTCGCCAAATTGACGATCCGCGGCACGCGAGTAAAACCGATCGCGTGGGACACGAGCCCGAGTGTGTGTGTGTGTATTCTCTTCGTGGCTCTTCTTGTTGGTTTGCGTGATTCGTCGTTACACCGATTGCGGTAGCAATCGTACGAGACGAATAACGACAGCGCGTATTTGCATTGGCCAAGGTAACCCGTCGCTTTGTTCTTCGTTGCGTAACTTGGCCGATTACAAGGAACGCCGAGGTTCCCACGGCGACCCGCGGCGATTTTCATGCGACGATCTCCCCAGGGACCTCGGAAGCCGTGTGTCTCTCTCTCTCTCTCTCTCTCTCTCTCTCTCTCTCTCTCTCTCTCTCTTTCTCCCTGCCTCTTTGCATACGCGCATTCTTTGCGCTCCATCAGTGAATCTTATCTCGCCGGATACTCGCCGAAGGTCCTTGTGACGTGCATTTGAGCGTCATCAAACTCACGACTCGACTCCCTCCTCCCCGGGGGGATACGGAAGGAAATGACTTTGCACGCGCTTTCCTCGTGGCAGGAAATCGCGGTGCGCGCGGGAAAGCAGGACGAAGCAGGGCGAAGAAGCGTAACAGGGTAATAATACACTGATAGAAAGATATAGTTGAATTAACTACAATCTCACTATATTTTATAGTTAATTTTAGCTTTAGTCAACTACATTTTTATAGTTCGTGGAAACCTGCAAAATATAGTAGAATAAACACAAATATATAGTCAATGATTGTCTTAAATAATTGTTTGGTTACTTTTAGCACATATATGGTAATTTCTCATTCACAAATATAGTGAGATTTAATATTCATATAGTTACATTTGTCATCATTTGACAAATATTCTGGTAATATTGACTATATAAAAGAGTTACTTTTACCTACCATTTTATATTTGCATCCATACAATAATTTTAGTTTAACTTACTATAATTCTTAGTAAAAATGTTATATGGTTGATTATACTATGCCTATATCGCAATTATTACCGATATTATGGTAATGCTTACTATAAATATGATATTTCGGACTATAATTTAATTACTATATCATTATAGTTCCAAATATCATATACTTTTCTCTCAGTGTACGTTGTGATATGTACGAGGTTTCATCACAAAGTAACGAGAATTTTGAAATTGCGCGCGCTGTATCTTGTCTATTCAGTTGATTCTTTTTTTATGTGTTGGTAGCACCACCAGTGACGTACGTGTCAATTTTCAGGCAGCTGCGACTCTTAGTTTGTGTTTGGCGAGCGAATGAGCAAAACGTACTTCAGTGTGTGTGTGTGTGTGTGTAGCGAAATGGCGGATCAGACAGCTTGTCTGAAACTTTGCGTTCAAAACGGAATTGAGTGCGCAGCGAAGCGTTCAAAATGTTAAAGAAGGCCTTTTTGGCGACGATACCATGTCACAACAAGCACGAATTTATGAATGGTACAAACGCTTTCAGGAAGACCGAGAAGAGACATCGAAGATGACGCGAGGTCTGGGCGTCCTAGCACGTCCACCAGTGATGAAAACGTGGAAAAAGTTGACGAGATTGTGCTTGCTGAATAGAAGAATCACCATTAGAGAGGTTGCTGAAGAAATAGGAATTTCATACGGCTCATGCGAAGCGATTTTTACTAATGTTTTGAACGTGAAACGAGTGGCGGCAAAATTTGTTGATTTTGCACCACGACAGCGCACGACGGCGCATAACCGCTCTGCTTATCCAACAATTCTTGACGAAACGTAACACCGTTGTGATGCCGCAACCACCTTTATTCTCCAGACATGGCCCCCTGTGACTTTTTCCTATTTCCCAAACTCAAAGGACAACGTTTTTCAACAGTAGATGAGATCAAGGCGAAATCGCAGATCCAGCTCAAGACGATACTTAAAGAAGAGACGTTCCACCAGTGTTTCTCAATCTGAAAATTACGTTGGCACAAGTGTTGTATAATATCACAGGGGGATTACTTTGAAGGAGATGATGGGATAAACATTGAAGATTAAAGAAATATTTTCCGAGAAAATTAAAAATTCTCCTTACTTTCTGATGAAACCTCGTATATAGCCCGGTGTGAGTTGCACGACGACGACGACGACGTAACACGACGAGCACGCGCGCGCATCTACACGTGCTGGTCAAGTTTAATATAGCAGCGTGTCGCCCTTGCGTCGCCTCGTGTTTTACCTCTTGCGCGCCGAAAGTGGAGCTCGATGACACGAGCTTTCCCGTCTCTCCTCGGGATAAAAGTTGCCCGTTGAGAGACAACGCGCGCGCTTTTTTCTCGATTCCACTGTCTCCTGCGGAGTCTCCGGCGCTCGTCGGGCGACGTTGAATGCGAGCGCGAGTGACACGCCGTCACGGTCGATCCGCGCCGAGTCCGCGATATCGTCTTCGACCGTGTCCTCTTCCTCCCCTTGTGACTCCTTCCCCCGGTACCACACTCCGCTCGGTGAGCTTGGGCTTGAAAGCTGGAATTCCAGGTGTACGCGAGATCCGGCGATAAAGCGAGGACGCTGCGAATGAGAATCTTATCGCGCTGCGTATCCGCAATGCGTCTCTGTAAGGTTGTTTGTTTCCCCTGGATGTGCCGCATCGTTTTGGCTCTGCATGCGGAACCGTCTGGTGGGAAGCCAACACCGTACCGGAAGCGTCCGCAGATCGGCGAGACGATACGACACTGCTGATGAATTAGATGGAGAGAGAATTTTCCGAATTCGCAGGAACGTGGGGGCGTTCGATCAGCAATCGCCTACGTAGCCGGATAGTTACATCAGCTGCACCCGCGGTGGTGGCCATTGGCTGCTGCTGGTCGCAGCGACGTCTCGAAGACGATGTTCCTTCCCGGGGGACGAAGGGGAAA